CAGGAGCCCCTAGTAGCGTCCTTGCTCCTAGTAGCGATGCCAGGAGCGCCTAGTATCGTCCTTGCTCCTAGTAGCGATGCCAGGAGCCCCTAGTAGCGTCCTTGCTACTAGTAGTAGGGCCAGGAGCCCCTAGTAGCGTCCTTGCTCCCAGTAGTAGGGCCAGGAGCCACTAGTAGCGTCCTTGCTCCTAGTAGTAAGAATGCTACTACTCTCATTTTTTGATCATCCTTTTGTCCGAGTTGAGGGCTAAAGTGCCAACGTTAGATGGAGAAAGTTATTTGCGAGACCCGAGTGCCCTGGTCCTGAGAGTTTTCCAAAGAGTTCAGAAAGAGCTCCTCAGACAGGTGAGGTAGAATTTGCGAGTGGGGTAACAGTGCATGCTTGGGGTACCAATATATGGGAACAAATAAATCGATAGATACTTGTGACACAAATGAGTAACAACTATATATATATATATTGTATATTGATATAAATACAGGACACGCGCGGATATGCATATGGGGTGGGTCATGAGGTAACCCTTCAACCTGTGAGAGCCCAAACATATGAAACTAAATTCCTTGACATGTCGGGATGAACTATTTTTGACCAACAGCCCCTGGAGGTATGGCTCAAAAGTAGGACCTATGATGTGTCTATTTGTGTATAAGCCACACCCCTCCGTAAACCTTTTGGGGGTGTATGTAGGCGACCATTGAGACAAATCTTGGTAAATTTCCAACATTGCCCATGTTACAATGACTTGCTCCTGTGTCTTCAGTCTCCCATGACTCCCATGAGGGCTGAGTATGAACGCCTGATGGGTCACAAAAGCTGCTGCGAAACTGACCTGGTCGAACTTGTCAGACCCTGACGACGGGCCCGGAATTTGCGAGGGGATGGAGTTTCATCACGGGTTCCTCAATTCTTAGGATTCCTCAGCGGGTAAGATTCTGGATCATGCATGCTGCATGAGCACGGTATCTGTTTAATCGAATTCCTCACGCTAAGGCAAAAGAATGTGCAGGTTCTGAACCACAGTAAGTTCTTGCAAACACCTATCACAACGAGCATCGTAGAGTTGAGGCACGTAGTGCAGAATATGATGAATACAATCAAGCCCAACTTCCTCAATCTGTTTCCTTTCCGCCCTCACCGCTGAGGCGCGCGGAAATCAGCGACCTCTTGGTGGTTGAAACCTGCCTCCTTGATCGCCGACTGCCTCAGCTTAGATTGACCACCATGCTTCCGACCGCAAGGAAGCTTTCAAATGAAATGCAAAAAGCTGAGTAGTGGAGGGAGTGGGCTTTCTGGAAGTTTCTGTTGCAAAAATGAATTCGGTGTCGCCTGTACCTCATTCAAACGGAAGTGCCGCGCAAGGGGCTCTTTTCGGAGCCGCTCCTTGTCCTTGAAGTCCCGGAAAAGACCCATGAGCTTCAGGAAATCCTGGAGCCACAGGGTCGGCCCGAACGGTAGAAACATCCCACACCTTGGATCAATGTCTCCATGAAGATCTTCAAAGCCAAAACGAAGGCTTCTAGGGGCCTGTTTCTATTAGCTGGAGGGCAATCATCTGCTCACCCATGTGATTGTCAACGGCCCATCTGAAGCAAATGGGTCCAACGAAGCTGAGGGACGTCCAGGTTCAATCCTCTCCATTCTTCCTCGGGTGCGATGCCATCTCCGGGCTCAAGGAATCCGAAAACGCACATTTGTTTCAATAACCGTTTATTAATATTTATTAATATCTATATATAAGAATTCTGTTAATTGTTTTAGAATAATTTAGAATATATATATATATAAAGAACTAGTTTTGCTTTTTCCTTGCTATTAGGTTGGAGGCCATCGCGATTAGATTGGAAGCCATCGCCATTAGGTGGAGGCCATCGCTAGTAGGTTGGAGGCCGTCGTTATTAGGGTGGAGGCCATCGCTATCAGGTTGGAGGCCATCGCTCATAGGTTGGAGGCCATTGCCATTAGGTTGGAGGCCATTGCCATTAGGTTGGAGGCCATTGCTATTAGGTTGGAGGCCATTGCTATTAGGTTGGAGGCCATCGCTATTAGAAAGGAAGCCATCGCCATTAGGTGGAGGCCATCGCTAGTAGGTTGGAGGCCATTGCTATTAGGTTGGAGGCCATTGCTTTTAGGTTGGAGGCCATAGCTATTAGGTTGGAGGCCATCGCTATTAGGTTGGAGGCCGTCGTTATTAGGGTGGAGGCCATCGCTATCGGGTTGGAGGCCATCGGTACTCACTTAACTAGTCACTACTGGGATGCTTCCTTCTCTTTTTCTTCAGACTGACGCAAGGTTTGAACACCTACTTGCGCAGTCTTTTTGGAGATTGGCACAGGTGAACCGGTGTCCCTCCAACAAACGGCCGCCAGGTGATTGAATATGAAGGATGGGGACAGTGCAAAAGTGTCTCATTAATGTAGACTCTTGATTGATATTTAAAACCACCTTACCAGAATGCTTTTACATATCCACATGGAGGCTCTATTTTTGAACAGTCCCCGATGTGTCATCCAACAACCTTCAGCCATTACCCGACTCAAACCATTTTGCCTCATTCTTACCTCGCCCTGCTGCCGCCAGCAACTCACCTGGAACATCGGGCGTGGCAATTTGCATCGAACGAGTTCCTGCGATCCACCTGGCCCGTGTTCTAAAAGAAAAAGAGAGTTCGACAGAGAGCATTTTCTTTTTGGCCCGCACCTACTTCATTAAGTAGGCGCCTACTCAATTAAGGGAGTAAGGTTCTAGCTACTTAAGCTACTACATATGGACGCAGAATAGCTCACACTTCTTCAAGGAGCGCTCGGACTAATGATTTGGTCACTAGACCTTGGAGGATTTTTGGGGAAACTTAACATAATCTACTTCAGAAATCATGTTTTCAGCTCGGGAGTCTTCCAGGGCTGCGCTCATCAAGCTTAGGAGCTGCGGGCGCATGGCCTGCACTCGTAACAAGCGTTGATGAGCAAATCCATATAGAAACATGTCGACTGAAGGAACAAATATTGATCTTCCTGCCCAACATCTCAATTCTTTCCAATGTCGTTCCGCTCTGCAACGAACGTGTATCTGTTGACTTTCAACATTGAAGCTCTTCAAAGCCACTGAGTTTGGTCCTGGCTTTTGGTTGGGTCATGACTTTGGGACAACACTGAATCAGGGGTCACTTTGCAGAAACTGACCATTTATTATTAGGTTGGAGGCCATCGCTACTCTCAAAGCTGGTAGAGTCACAGCATTTTGGTTTGGTCCCGTCCGGTCACGTTAGGTCTGCGGCTTCAGGCATTGCGCCTTCTCGTGGGCAATCTCCGGCACCACGTCCTCGACCTTGAATGAGAGAATTTGAGCTTGTGCAAATGTGGAAGAATGTGGAAAAATGTAGAGCTCAAACCTAACAGCAAAAGAAACCTAATAGCGATGGTCTCCAACCTGCAACTGTGATGTATGGATGTTCGCTTTGCAACTAGGTGGCGCCTTGGATTATTCCAAGAATTGGACATGAGATTCCTTTCATCTATACTCTGATCCTACCTACCCTACCTCCACGAGAATCATCCTGTTTAGAGAGCTGGAACTACCAGTCACTGACAGTGCCCAAAGAGCAAATTACGGGGGTTAATCACTTGGGAGAACCCTGAATTGTATATTATATGGGTGCTATATTTATACCAACTGACCCGAACATGTCTTTTGCTTGCTCCGCCTTCAAGCCATGCCCATATCAGGTTCAAGAAGAATGGATTTCTCAAATTTGGCTCTTCCCCCAAAAGCCTTCAAATTGAACATCCAACGGCGCTTCGATCGACATCGAAGCGCCGTAACTGGGCCCAGTGGCTGCAATGAAACGACAGGTGGTGGTTTGGGTGCTGCTACTGGTGGACATCCGAAACCTGTGGAGAAAACGCATGCTTGGCATAGCATCGATTGACCAGTTGCACCAGCTCCTTCTTGTTGATCCTTGGTCAAGCGTCCGGTATGGATCGAGACGTGCAAGAACGCAGCCGGTTCAAATCCAAGCAGCTAGTCTTCAAGGCAACTTGGACGCCAACTTGATTGCTGATTCGACATTGCGTGGGCTGGGTGGGTAGCCCCCCTGATGTAATGTAGGACAATTGTGTGAGGGACCCGGAGTAGCAAGCAAGCGAGTCAAGAGCTTGTGGCTGTGCTGCGTCTGCCATGAGCAACTGTTGAAGGAAAAATCAAACACCAGGTTTTGGTGTGGAATCATCAACAACAATAATGAGAACATCGATTTAGTAGCTTCTTAAAACAATTGACACCTGGCAACACAGGACACCAACCTCCCTTCTGAGAGCACTTTCCATAAAAAGAGTGGTGCAGTGGTGCAGTCACCATCTCCACTGTCGGGGTTTTCCGCGTGACTTCATACTTGGGATGGACTTCTGATGTTTTCGTGCTTGGCTCAATTCACCGACTCAAAAACACCTTGAACCATATTTGGATTAGGATGTATATGCACACTAGATTGAATAAGTGACAACTTAAAGCTCATTCTGCAGGAGAGATGCTTCTGGTCCCTGCACTTTGTCTTCGAAAAGGCCAAACCTCTATAATCCAATCCAGCCAACCCGACTCCTCCAATTGAACTGCTGTTTCGCCCTTTTTCGGATCCTGGATCAATGACCAGGCGTCCAGCCGTTCCCATTGACATCGTAGCGTTGGAAGAGCAGTTTCAGGTCCCTCACTTCCTCGTAGGCGCAAACTGCCCGGAGCTTCTTGTTACTACTAGTAAGGCACCTGTTACTACTGGTAAGGCACCTGTTACTACTAGTAAGGCACTTGTTACTAGAAGCGATGCACTTGTTCCTGGTAGCTTATTGTTACTACTAGTAAGGCACTTGTTACTAGAAGCGATGCACTTGTTCCTAGTAGCTTATTGTTACTACTAGTAAGGCACTTGTTACTAGAAGCGATGCACTTGTTCCTGGTAGCTTATTGTTACT